CCAATGTTGTGAAGTTTTTGTCCCATGTTTTCTTGTAAGAGATTTATAGTTTTGGGGCTTACATTTTGGACATAGATTTGAGTTAATTTTTATATATGGTGTTAGATAAGAGATGAACTTCATTATTTTATATTGGGTATCCAGTTTTCCCAGCACTCTTTGTTGAAAAGACTGTCCTTTCCCATTGAATGGTCTTGGCATCCTTATCAAAAATCATTTGACTGTATATGCAAGGTTTATTTCTGGGCTTGCTAGTCCATTGGTCTACATGTCTGTTTTTATGCCAGTATCATATTGTTTTGATGAGCATAGCTTTGTAGTAAGTTTAAAATTCAGGAAGTGTCAATATTCTAGTTTCGTTCTTATTTTCACAGTTGTTTTGGCTATTTGGGGGTCCAAGATTGCACATGAGTTTTAGGATGGGTTTTTCTATTTCTGCAGATAAGTCACTGGGATTTTGGGAGGGATTGTGTTGAATCTTTAGATCACTTTCACATTTTAAGAGTATTAAATCTTCCAATCCATAAACTTGTAATTGTGTCCATTTATTTATGTCTTCTTTAATTTTCAGTAATGTTTTGTAGTTTTCATTGTACAAGTCTTTCATTTCCATGGTTAAATTAATTCTTAATTATTTTATTCTTTTGATGCTATTTTAAGTAGAATTGTTTTCTTAATTTCCATTTGTTTTCTCATGTGTAGAATGTAAATGATTATCTGTTGGCTTTGTTTCCTTCTTTGCTGAATTCATTATTCTTTCAGTGTTGTGTATGTGTGTGTGTGATCTTTAGAATTTTGTACATACAGAATCATGTTTACAAACAGATAATTTTTCTTCTTCCTTTCTAATTTGGATGCTTTCATTTCTTTTTCTTGCCTAATTGCTCTGGCTAGATCTTGCAGTACTATGTTGAACAGAAGTAGTGAAGGAGATACCCTTACTTTTTCCTGATCTTAGAAGAAAAACTTCCAGTTGGTCACCTTTGAGAATGATGTTTTCTGTGGCTTTTTCATGTTTGGTTTTTATTATGTTTAGGTAGTTTCCTTTTATTCCTAGTTTGTTGAGTGTTTTACAAAAACGTATTGAATTTTATCAAATGGTTTTTCTGAAATTGAGATTATGTTTTTTTTCCCTTCATTCTGTTGATGTGGTCTATTGTGTTGATTAATTTTTGTATGTTGAACTATCCTTGCATTTTAGGAATAAATGCCATTTGGCCATGGTATATAATCTTTTTAATATGCTGCTGAATTCTGTTTGTTAAGTGTTTTGTTGAGGTTGTTGCATCAATACTCATAAGCGCTGTTGGTCTGTCGTTTTCTTGTATGTGTTTGCCTCTTTTATCAGAGTAATGCTGGAAGAGTGAAGCCATCAGTTCTGGGATTTTCTTTGTACAGACAGTTTTGATTACTGATTCAATCTTCTTATTAGTTATGGGTCTATTCAGATTTTCTATTTCTTCGTGATTTAGTCTTGGTAGGTTTTATGTTTAGAGGAATTTGTTCATTTCATCTAGGTTATCCAATTTGTTGGTGTACAATTGTTTGTAGTAATTATAATCCTTTTTATTTCTGTCCTTTTTATTTCTGTAGAATCAGCATTAATGTCCTCACTTTCATTTCTGATTTTAGTAATTTGAGTCTTCTTTTTTTTTTTCTTAATCCATCTAGCTAAAGGTCTGTCAGTTTTATTGCTTTTCAGAGAAAACTCTTGCTTTCATTTATTTTCTCAATTATTTTTCTAGTCTCTATAGTTTGTATATCTGCTCTCATCTTCAGTACTTTTTTTCCTTCTACCTTTGGGTTCAGTTTATTATTCTTTTTCTAGTCCCTTAATTTATAAATCAGGTTGTTGATCTGAGGTCTTTCATTTTTTAACATAAGCATTTATAGTTCAACAATTTCTCCCTTTGCAGTGCTTTTGCTGTACTTAGAAGTTTTAGTATGTTTTCTTTTCCATTCATCTTTAAGTATTTTCTAATTTTCCTTGTGATGTCTCCGTTGATTCATTGGTTGGTTAAAATCCATGTGTTGTTTAATTTCCACAAATTTGTGAGTTTTCCTCTTTTCTTTGTTATTGATTTCTAACTTCATCTTGTGATTGGAGGAGATATTTTTTATGGTATTTATCTTTAAAAAATCTGTTAAGACAGTTTTTGACCTACCAAATGGTCTATCCAAAGTTTTTTTATGAGAAATATGTTGATAATCTTATTGAGAATCTGTTGTAAATGAATATTTACTTCTTACCTCTTTCAAGATTATCTCTGTCTTTTGAACATTTGATTAATGAATCTTGGTGTGGGTCCCTTTGAGTTCATCTTACTTGGAGTTGGTCTTTCAGATGTTTATATTCATTCATTCATGTCTTTCACCAAATTTGGGACTTTATTTTTCAGTCCATTCAAATTTTCGGCCATTATTTCTTCAAATATTCTTTCTGCCCCATTCTCTTCTTTTGGGACTCCCACAACATGTATGTTGATCTCCTTGGTGTCTCACAGGTTCCTTGGACTCTGTTCACTCTTTTTCTTTCCATTCCTCAGACTCAATTTCTGCTGTCCTATCTCCTATTTCTGATTTTTCTTCTGCCTGTTCAAACCTGCCTTTCAATCCATCTAATGGATTTTTATTTTGGTTATTGTACTTTAGTTCCAGAATTTCTTTTTGGTTTCTTTTTCGGTTTTTATCTCTCTACTGATGTTTCCATTTTGTTAGCACATCATTTCTCCACATCTCCTCTTAGGTCTTTGAGCATTTTAAGACTGTTATTTTAAAGTCTTTGTCTCGTATCTCTGCTATCAGATCTTTGTAAGGGACAGATTCAAAACTGGTCATTTGAATCTAATAATATGGCAACTATGGAAATCAGGTTCTCTCCCTTCCCTGGGGCTTGATGTTTTTGTTATTGCTTTTATATTTTGACGGGTTCGGGCTGTTGCTATAACAAGAATCTGCTGAAGTGTAAACTTAAGGTCTCCTCAGGTCTCTTCTGAACCTGTGCCTTTCCCTGGCCATGTATGGTCACTTTCTAATGTTCCCTGTGTCTGCAGTTGCTTTTGAATCTCCCAGTCTTTAATGTCTGACTCCTAAAAGGGGGAAAAAAAGAAAATGAAGAGAGAGGGCATTAGTCCCTCTTGGAAGTCAGCTGGTGGGGGAAGGGCTTGAAACAATTGTGGGAGGTCCAACAATAGCCACCCGCATCTTTTTCTGCATCTCTCTGATCAGAGGCAGCAATCAGTGATCAGAACAGAGATCCCTGATATTTGGATGATGTGGTTGTTTTTGCCCACCCTCACTTTGACACATAACACACTAGCTGTGTGCAGGTTGCTCCAGGAATACATGCACAGCTGCCCGCCAGGGGCTGAGAGTCAGGGAAGGGCAGCTGCACTGTGCTAAGAGCTGGACTTGACCAAAATTAACCACAATTTGCCATCCATGCCTTCCCCTGGAAGTTGGAAGCCTTCAGTACTCTCCAAACTTGTTAAATAGTTACATCAGACGGATTCTGCCAGTGTAGTTATTGTCCAGGTAGGGGGACAAATTCCTGGTGCTTCCTACTCTACCATCCTCCCAGGATCCTTTCTCATTGCCCTTCTTCTTTGTTCCTCTTTTTTTGTTTTCCACTTATTTTCTGCCTTTTGTGGTTTTTAATTGAGCATTTTATGTGATTCCATTTTCTCTCCTTTCTCAGCATATCTCATACTTTTAATTTTCTTTAGTGGTTACCCTAGACTTCCCAGTACACACTTAGAAGTAATCCAAGTCCACTTTCAGGTGACATTATACCACTTCACTGGTAGTGTAAGTACTTCACTTGCAAGGCAGGCCTACTGGTGACAGATTCCCTTGTTTGAGAAGGTCTGTATTCCTTTTCACTTTTGAAAGAAGTTCACTGTGAACTTCACACACACTGTTCGATTTTTCTCCCCTTTTGGATGGAATCTGCAATTGAATATTCCCATCCCCCAAGGTTGTTAGGCTCTGATAAAACACGAATAGTTTAGGCTCTGGTAAGATAGTTTTTCTTGGGAGTAGACCTCCTTAAGAAGAACTGAATCCTCTGGCTTCTTTCAAACCCTTCTTACCAGAAGCAGGAGATTTTTCTCCAGTATTGACTGTGGGAACCAGGAGGGAACCTGGAGGTAAACTCACAAAAGTGGGAGGGCGGCACCCCTGGTGGTTTTAACCTGCAGACTTCGACACTGAGCCTCTAGCAACTCCTTAATATAGTTTATTGAGGTTTTCCTACCCTGTACTGGTTCCAGGGGGTTTCTCCAAATGGGTTTCTGTTCTTCAAATTTGTGATTCTCTGTATTTGCCTGTCAAGTTTTGGCACAGCAGTTTGCCCTGTGACCTCACTGCTCTGCTGCATCTTAGAAGAATTGATTTTTCGGTTTGTTCAGCTTTTTACGTACTCAGATGAAGTGATAGCCTCCAAGCTCCTTACATAATAGACCAGAAACCTAAAGTCTAAACATGTCAGTTAAACAGTAGAAATTGCCAGGTCTGACTAAAACAAAACAAACACAGGATTCAACTGTATGCTGCCCATAAGAAACTGATTTTAAATACAAAGACTAGTAGGGTAAAAGGAGAGGGATGGAAGGAGACACCATGGTAACACTCCTCAATAGAAAGCTGGACTGTGTATGTCTGCAACAGACCAAGTAGATTTCAGAGCAAGGAATTTTACTAAGGATAAAGAGGACCATTTTATAATAATAAAGAGCTCACCAAGACTACATAGCAGTCCTAGATGTTTGTCCCGACCCGCAGGACTATCAACGGGGGTCGACGACCTGGAGGAGAGAATGAAGGGGCAAGAGACAAAGAACGGACAGCAAGACAGGATGTCTGATCAAGCTGACCAGTTTTATTTTTTTCAGGCTCAATTTATATAGGTTGTGACGAAAATATATGTAAAGAGGTGATTGGTCTTCAGTTGGCGCCGGCGGGAACGTGTAGAGAGGTGATTGGGCTTCAGGTGGTGCCGGCGGGAACCGAGGACCCGGAAGAGAAGCAGGAGGTTCGCCATCTTGTGGGTGGGGGCCCTTGGGAGGGAGGTTTAAGGGTGGGGCTTTCCCCTGGGGCAGCGGGTGTTCTTGAGAAGCAGGAGTTTGGCAGGGTTAGAAGGCCAGTGGAAAGAATAGAGGAGGAAACATTGCTTAGCAATCTGACTGCAAGATCTATATTGATTTGGCTAGGAGAGCAACTCTGCCTTACTGCAGAAATGATTGCTGTTGTCTTAAGACTTACATAACTAGTATTGCTTAAAAGTCCATAGGCTCGCTTCCAGCAGATGTTTAGGCCCCTAAAAACAGCTTCAAATTCATGAAGTAAAACCAAACAAAAATGCAATAAAAAAATAGACATTCATAATTACAGCCAGAGATTTTTAACACCCCTCTCAAGAACTGACATGAGTAGACACAAATTGTTAAGGGTCTTGAAGACATGAACACAATTAACCAGCCTGACATAACTGAGCTTTGTAAAATACTCCACCCAAAAAAGGCAAAATACATACTATTTTCAAGGTCATACAGGACATTTACCATGATGGACTATGTTCTGGGCCATAACAAGCTTCAATCAATGTAAAGGGATTTAAGTCATAATGAAATATATTATCTGATCAACAGTGTTTTAAATTACAAATCAGTATATCTGGGAAAGCCAAATACTGTAAACTAAGTGACATACTTCTAAATAACCATGAGAAAGTAGAAAATTAAATGGGGAAAAGTAGAAAGTATTTGAAACTGAATATACAGCTGCAGTAATTGAGACCATGTCATACTGGCATCCAGATAGACATGTAGGTCAATGGAAGAAAACAGTGTATCATAATCATCCACCAAAAATGATCAGTGGAGTTTTCAGCAAAGATGCAAAGGTGAAGAAAAGATACAACAAATAGTGTTGAAATAGTTGGATGTCTATATTGCAAAAAATGACACCAAATACAAAAACTAACTGAAAATTCTTCCTAGACCTACATGTAAAACCCCAAACTAGAATTTCTAGATGAAAACATAGGAGCAACCCTGTGACCTTGAGTTTGGCAAAGATTTCTTAGATACAATATCAAAGACATGATCCATAAAATACTGATAAATTGGGCTTCATCAAAATTAAGAATTTCTGCTCTTCAAAAGACCTTAAGTATGTGGAAAAGATAAGCCAGACTAGAGAAAATATTTGTAAATCACATTCATAATGAACATATTCAGAATACACATAGAATTCTCAAAACTCAAACAGCCCAATAAAAATGGTCAAAAGATTTGGACATGCAAATTTAAGTATGAAAAGATGCTTATCAATTATTAAGGAAATGCAAATTAAACCAACTAAGATATAGCACTACACACCTATTAGAATGTCCAAAATTAAAAATAATACCAACTGTTGGTGACTATATGGGACAACTGGAACTTTCACATGTTGCTAGTGGAAATGTAAAATGGTACTTTTTTGAAAATAGTTTGGCAGTTTCTTGAAAGGTTAAAGATACACCTCCCAGATATGCATTCCAGAGAAATGAAAGCATCTGCCTTTACCAATACTTGTATATAAATGTTCATGTCAGCTTTAAGACAAAAACTGGAAATAATGCAATTTTATATTAACAGATGAATGTATACACAAATGGTGGCATATACATACAAGGATCACTACGCAGCAAACAAGGGAATGAACTATCAATACACACGACATGGATGCATCTCAAAATCATTACGTTAAGTGAAAGAAGCCAGACAAAAATGATTCTGTTTATACAAAATTCTAGAAAGTGCAAATTAATCTATAGTAACAGAAAGCAGATCAATGGTTGCCTGAAGCCTGGAGAGGGTGGGCCAGGGTGGGTGCGAAGGGAACTGAAGGGCATCAGGAAGCTTTGGAGGGTAATAGATTGATCGCTGTCTTGGTGGTGGTGATGGTCTCACAGTGTGTATGTATGGCAAAACTGATGGAAGTGTGCAGTTATTTAAGCCTCATTAAAACTGTTGAAGCGTTGTAACCACCAGGGGGCAGGAAGATCTCCCCCAAATAATCCCTGGTCTGTTTATTGAATGAGGAATGTAGAGATTGATTATTCTGGTTGAAACCCGTCGTTCCTCTCAAATATTTTGTAATTAGCAATGCTCACTTACTACATGCGTAAACTATTTCAATTTGAAAATGCTTGATGTGGGGAACCCCAGGGTCTATAAGCACCTATTAGCTCAGTTCAAGTTAAGCTTTCACATATGCGTGGCAAAGAGTACCTTGAAAGAACCACATCTGCTTCTCTTCCTCTCTTGAGGAATATTCAAACTTGTTTCAGCTGCAGACCACTGCATTCAAACTGAGGTTTTCAGAACCCAAAGTGTAAGTCAGGGTTGTGGGACAGCTGGAGGAAGCTCCTAGGATCTGAGGACTATAGCTTGAAAATCCATCTACTTTCTGTGTGACTTCAATCCAGTAGTTTAATCACTCAATCCACCCTCAGTCCCTGTCTCAGCTTTCTAAAAATGAGGAATGAGCTCTCCATGACATGAGTCATGAAGATGTTCATAAAATCCATACTGCCTAACAGTGCGACCAGGGCCCATATCAGAAAGAGGGCACGTATGAGCCAGGTACGGAGGGGAGAGCTGCGGCTGGTGGGCGTCAGGGGACGGATGGCAGTCCAGAGAGTAGAGTCTTCTGAGTCAGGCATTCCTGGGACCTGTGACATGTAAAGTGGAGCCAGCTTCTCTCACCAGTCTAGTTCTGCTGTCTCTAAGAGACTCACCTTTTCAGAAAAAGACAATGCTTGTGGGCAAATGAGCACCAGGCACTGGGCAGAAGGTGCTTCACTCTGAGCACACTTGGGAGCAATTAGCTGCCTGTATGCCGTGACCTGTACCACACAGGAGCACCCCTTTTTCTTAGCACTAACCCCAGGATTCCAGACCCTCAGAAACTTGCTCATTACTCTTTTATTGAGACCCTCATTCTTACCAAGAATATTGTTTGGCATGTATTTATGTCCTGTGACTTTAAAACTTTTCCTATAATGAGCATGATAAAGATTGACGTTTATTGAGCACTTCACTAGCACTTAAAGTACTAGACAGAGTTGTAATCCACTTACCCATTTAAACTAAAGACTCTTGAGCCCTGTGATTCCCAGATTAAATAACTTGTTCAAGGTGACACAGCTAGTAAGTGGCAAGGGCAGGGTTGGTGCCCAGGTAGACTTGCTCCAGTGCCCAACCCTGAGGCCAGGCTGCCCCAATAAAGCTGGACATTTTCCTTTATGCAGGAATCCTTTGAGGCCCAGAGGGTATCAGCCCAGCTCAGAAGGACGAAGGGAGGTCACCGCATTTCAGAGGCCTTTGGAAAGAAGGCTCTGGAGACCTGAGAAGTGAATGGATTTTTGCGTAGGGTTTTAAGGGATGAGTAGGAGTTGTGTAGATGTGGGGCAGGTGGCCCCCAAGCCGAGGGCCTGGACGCCAGCCCCGGGACCTAGCAGTGTTAGTGCAGGCTCTGCGGGGCCGGGCGGGCCTGAACCATCCTGAGCCACGCGGCTGTGGAGGCTTGGGGAGCAGAGGGAAGCGGTGCGGGCGTGCAGGCGTGGCGCGTGGGGTGTAGTCGCGCGGCCCGGGCCCTCTGCCAGCCTGGCCTTGGCCTGCCTACCGGTGCTTGGCCGGCGGGCCGCCACCATCCCTGAGGTCTGAGCCCGTGCTCTGCCCAGGGCTCTCTGGGAAATCCTAGGGAGAAGAGAGTTCCTCTCTGGAGGCAGCAGTGGCCTTTTAAGTTAACAAGCAGCTGGGTGGCCACTGCCCTGGACACTATGCAGTTCCCCAGCAACCCTTACCCCACGTGGGTGACCATCTGGCCTGGGTGCTGTCCAGGACTTGAGTCATTCCTGTCTGTGACAGTGAGGGCTCCACTAGAAAGTAGGCTTGGGGCCCAGGGATGGAATGGGTCATGTGACCACGGGGCAGTGTGTATGGGGTGGAGTCACCATGGCTGCCATCTAGAGGGGCCCTGCCCCCTCCTCTTCAGGCCTCTCCGGGCCCTGGGCGGACATGCAGTTCCCCCCTGCGTTGAGCTCTCCGTGGATGCCCCGCCTGGGAGTGCCCCGGCCTGGCCCACCACGGGCCTGCACACAGCTCTGCTGGCAGCGGGAAGCGGCGCGGGATCAGGAGACTGCGCTTTGCTTGCTTTGCTCCTTTCCTGCCGCGAACCTGAGTTTCCAGAGCCGATCTGGCACAAGGCGGAGAACGGCAAGCGGGCAGCACTAGAGAAGCTTCAGAGGGTCTTTCTTTGATGTGTTATGCAAAGAGAAACCTTACAGAATAAAGGGCAGAAAGAAGAAACTTTCTTTTTTCACATGATGGGAAACTGGGTCCAACCTCTGATATGTATTCAGTGAATGTGTAATATACACAGCTGTGTGGCCGTGCTCTCTCTTCCTTGGGCCTCAGTTTCCCCATCTGTAAAACAAGGGATGGACTAAGTGAACACTGTGGGCTGAACCCACAGCCTCAGGCTCACGGGGACAGATCTTGATACTCACTGAGCACAGGGTGGTGAGTCCCAGCCCCCAAGTGCAGGGAATGAATGCATCCACAGGACACAGTGTGCAGTCCTCTCAGCAGGGCGCCACATGGGACATTCAGCCGCTGTCTGATTGAAGCCTGTGGATCAAACACAGGTCACCTGATCCACAGCTTGCTCACACCTAGGGAAGGGCCATGAGGTTGGTTAGATAATGAAGCTTATTCCTGGTGTCTTCGTGGGCTTTACAGAAGCATTTGAGGCCATTAACACATAGACTTTTTCTACTCAGATTTGGCAGGTTGAGAAGTCTCCTAAGAACCTAAGAGTCAGCCTGAAGAGGAGGGGGCAGGGCCCCTCTATATGGCAGCCATGGTGACTCCACCCCATACACACTGCCCCGTGGTCACATGACCCATTCCATCCCTGGGCCCCAAGCCTACTTTCTAGTGGAGCCCTCACTGTCACAGACAGGAATGACTCAAGTCCTGGACAGCACCCAGGCCAGATGGTCACCCACGTGGGGTAAGGGTTGCTGGGGAACTGCATAGTGTCCAGGGCAGTGGCCACCCAGCTGCTTGTTAACTTACAAGGCCACTGCTGCCTCCAGAGAGGAACTCTCTTCTCCCTAGGATTTCCCAGTCTTTCCATGGATGAAGGTCTCTATTTAAAAATTTTAAAATAAAAGATAAAAATCACAAATTGGCCCTCTGCCCAAGACACATACAATAATAGCTGCACTTCCAGTAACAGTTGATAGAGAAAAATGAAACCCCTAAAAGGCTGCTCTGAGTTCAGCAGTGCTGTTAAATGATGTTGTATCGTATGCATTGCAAACATCTATACATATTTGAAAAAGAGCACTAAAGACTATATAGGTGCTGGGAGCATAGATAGACACTCAGATCCACTCCCCAGGGCCCTTGTTGGTAGGGGGTGGCATAGGTTTATGAAACCAGAGAGCACCCCCACTCCCCAGCAGGTCTGGCCTCAGCAGTGTGCACACAGGCACACACAGTCCTGCTTCACTTTGGCTAGAACTGGCACTAGGGGGATCGGGCTGTAAGGTCGTGGTGTCTATGTGATTTCTAAGATCCATGAGCCCCTAGATCTCAATGGTGATGAGGCTGCTCACCCTCAGCCATCTTTCTACCAAGGGTGCAATTTCTCTGGAGCCTGAAAGTACTGGGCTCTGGAGCTAGTAGCTTACTTGGTTCCAGAGGTGGACACAAAGAGGGTCTGGCTGCAATCTATAACCAGACCCTGGGGACATGACCGTGGGGGTGTGGGGTGTTCTGATTGCTTGCTTATGGGCCTTAAAGCAGAAATCACAGGCTGACTTGGCACCTTCCTCCTTCAGGGCCTGAAATGTACAACTCTTCACTAAATAATAAGCAAGCCCAACCTCCAAAGACTGATCAGAGAAGGGAAGTGTGCGGACCTACACAATGTTGCTAGGTGAGGTTATCTTCCAGGAAAGTAGCTCGCAGGTACTGGTGAAACTTCCTGGGAGTATGGGCCCTGGTTCTTTCTCTATGTGCTTCCCTAAGAAGGAGAAATTGTCACATGATGGGCGTAGGGTGTCCAGAATGCTGCCAGAACAGTGGTTCCATGATTGCTTCATCCCTAGTCTGTCAAAGTAATTTAGTAGAGTAATAGCTTAAGAGGGGAAAATCTAAGAGACCCCAGAAAAACTGATCAAAGTTGTACCCACTCTTGATAAATTTCCTGGCAAACTAAGAGTAGAAGAGAACTTCCTTAATGAGATAAATGGTACTGATTGGAGTAAACCTGGAACTTAATGGTGAAACCTTACAAACATTCCTTCCATTCAGTGATGGAACAGGGCACGCATGACTGCTCTTCAGTCATTCGGTTCTGTCCTGGGGGTTGACATGGCACAGCAAGACAAGAGGAGGGACAGAAAGGAACAGAGCAGCCATCATTTATAGGGGACATGATTGTCCTCCTAGATAAGCCAAGGAGATCAATAGACAGATTTTAAAGCAAATTATAAAAGAGGTTTGAGGTGGCCAGATATAGGTGATCACATAATAAATCATTGGGTGGCCTGTGCCCCAGAATGGCAAGTGAAAAAAAAGTAACATAAGAGATCCCAGCCATGAGAGTAATGCAAATTATAAAAAGCACAGGAACACAGGTAACAAAAAATGTGCAAGAATTTTCAGGGGAAAACAGTGTATCTCTACTGAAGGACATAATCATCTTAGTCAAATGAACACACATGACCTTCATGCATGGGAATACTCTGTAGGCAGTAGTGTACACGGATCTGGAGCTTGGAGAGAGAGAAATGATAAATGGATGTGGGAGTTGTTGGCACAGGTCTGAGTGATTTCTTCAAGGAAGCATATGGACATGGCAAGAAGAGAAGATCGCCCCAGATGGCGCTGAAGCCACCAAGCCAGAGAAATAGGCGGGAGGCCAGGACGGCAGGAGGTCACAGAAGCCCAGGAAAAAGGCAGTGTCAAGGCGGGAGGCCCAACAGTATCAGATACTGGGAGAGGGAGAGGTTGGGGAAGATAAGGGCCGATTGGGGTCCATTGTGTTCGGTAAGAAGGAGTTAATGAGTGACCTGGGAAGAAGCAGACTTTCATGGAATGGTGGGATCAGAAGCCAGATTGCAGCGATTTGAAAAAGAAAAGGAGTTTTTCAGAGGGTAAATATGGGAGATTAAACATAGCTATCTACTTTAGTGTTTTCTTAAAACCACATTGAAATGACAGTAAAGGTGTTTTTTAAAGGTTATTTTTTAAAGGCATAAACCTACAAGGATAGGAATAATGGGAGAAAAAAGCAACAAGGTGTTTGAAGTTGGAAATCAGATGAAGGATTGTAACTGGTTTTTAAGACCAAAAAAGTCCCCTGAATCCTGAGGAGGCAGTAGGGAAAGCCTAGAACCAAACCCGGCTATAACCCAGAATCCCCCAAAGACTCAGGGATTGACCCCACGGAGTTCTAGAGATGGGGCTGAAGGAATCTAAAACAAGAACGGTTGTAAGATCTGTTTGACAGGGAGAAAGATCTCCTCAATTCCCTCTTCCACTCTGGATAGGTGGGGGATTTCTCTGGAAAGAGTGAAATCGAATCCCTCCCCCAGTTCCCAGCCCCAGTGCTCTGAACCTGAGCCTGGACCTGGTGAGGAGGGGAGGGACTTGCCACCAAACACATAGGTGTCCAGGGGTGCTGACTGCTGGATGCTCTCTCCCTAGGCTCCCACAAGCCCACAAGGCAGGCTGTCCGCCTTTCTTCTTCAAGCTGGAGAGTGGAAGAGGCTGCTCTGGGGAATCTGGGCAAGAAGACCTACGGATAGTGATATCAGAGACTCCTTCACTGAACAGCCCTTTCAGATCACCCTACAGTGATGCCAGGAAAGCCCACTTTTGCACTGAGAACTTCCAAGCAGCCTTTAGACCCTACTTTATTTATTTTATTAAGGTGCCATTGATATACACTCTTATGAAGGTTTCACAAGAAAAACAATGTGTTTATTACATTCACCCTTATTATCGAGTCCCCCCCATGCCCCATTGCAGTTACTGTCCGTCAGTGTAGTAAGATGCCACAGAGTCACTATTTGTCTTCTCTGAGCTACACTGTCTTCCCTGTGACCCCACACACACCATGTGCACCAATCATGATACCCACAATTCCCTTCTCCCTTCCTCCTTCTCCATCCGCCCACCTCCACCCCTCCCCTTTGGTAACCTCTAATCCCTTCTTGGAGTCTGTGAGTCTGCTGCTATTTTGTTCCTTCAGTTTTGCTTCATTGTTATACTACACAAATGAGGGAAATCATTTGGCACTTGTCTTTCTCCACCTGACATTTCACTGAGCATAATACCCTCTAGCTCCATCCATGTTGTTGCAAATGGTAGGATTTGTTTCTTCCTTACTGTTGAATAGTATTCAGTTGTGTATATGTACGACATCTTCTTTATCCATTCATCTACTGATGGACACTTAGGTTGCTTCCATTTCTTGGCTATTGTAAATAGTGCTGCAATAAACATAAGGGTGCATATGTCTTTTTGAATGTGAGAAGTTGTTTTCTTTGGGTAAATTCCTAGGAGTAGAATTCCCAGGTCAAATGGTATTTCTATTTTTAGTTTTTTGAGGAACCTCCATATTGCTTTCCACAATGGTGAACTAGTTTACATTCCCACAGCAGTGTAGGAGGGTTCCCCTTTCTCCACATCCTCGCCAGCATTTGTTGTTCCTAGTCTTTTCTATGTTAGCCATCCTAACTGGTATGAGGTGATATCTCAATGTGGTTTTAATTTGCATTTCCCTGATAATTAGCGATGTGGAGCATCTTTTCATGTTCCTGTTGGCCATCTGCATTTCTTCTTTGGAGAAGTGTCTCTTCATATCCTCCACCCATTTCTTAATCAGGTTATTTCCTTTTTGGGTGTTGAGGTGTGTGAGTTCTTTATATATTTTGGATGTTAACCCCTTGTCATATATGTCTTTTACAAATATATTCTCCCATTCTGTAGGCTGCCTTTTTGTTCTGCTGATGGTATCCTTTGCTGCACAGAAGTTTTTTAGCTTGATGTAGTCCAATTTGTTCATTTTTTATTTTGTTTCCCTTGCCTGAGGAGATGCGTTCAGGAAAAAGTTGCTCATGTTTATATTCAGGAGATTTTTTGCCTATGTTATCTTCTGAATTTTATGGTTTCATGACTTACATTCAGGTCTTTGATCCATTTCAAGTTTACTTTTGTGTATGGGGTTAAACAATAATCAAGTTTCATTCTTTTGCATGTGGCTGTCCAGTATTGCCAACACCAGGTGCTGAAGAGGCTGTTATTTCCCCATTGTATGTCTATGGCTCCTTTTAATTGACTGTATATGCTTGGGTTTCTATCTGGGCTCTCTCTTCTGTTCTACTGGTCTATGGGTCTGTTCTTGTGCCTGTACCAAACTGTCTTTATTACCGTGGCTTTGTAGTAGAGCTTGAACTTGGGAAATGTAATCCCCCCAACTTTATTCTTTCTTCTCAGGATTGCTTTGGCTATTCAGGGATTTTTGGGTTCCATATGAATTTTAGAACTATTTTCTCTAGTTCATTGAAGAATGCTGTTGGTCTTTTGATAGGCATTGCATTGAATCTGTAGATCGATTTAGGCAGGATGGTCATTTTGACAATATTAATTCTTCCTATCCATGAGCACAGGATGTAATTCCATTTATTGATATCTTCTTTAATTTCTCTCATGAGCGTCTTGTAGTTTTCAGAGTACAGGTCTTCACTTCCTTTGTTAGGTCTATTCATAGGTATTTTATTCTTTTTGATGCAACTGTAAATGGAATTGTTTTTCTGATTTCTCATTCTGCTAGTTCATCATTAGTGTATAGGAATGCAACAGATTTCTGTGTGTTAATTTTGTGTCCTGCAACTTTGCTGAATTCAGCTATTAGATCTAGTAGTTTTGGAGTGGATTCTTTAGGGTTTAGACCCTACTTTAAATAGGAGTTGTCACTCAAAGAAGACTTCTGGTTCAGATTAATTCAACCAAATATTTTAAGAATAAAATAATACCAGTCCTACATAAATTCATAAATAGAGGAGGGGAAATTTCCCAACTCATTCTATGAGGCCAGCATTACCCTAATACCAAAATTAAACAAATACATTACATGACAAGAAAACTGAAGACCAGTAAGTCTTAGGAACAAAGACACAAAAATTGTTGCAAAATATTAGAAGGTTGAATGGAGCAAAATGTATTTTTATATAAAACATTAAAAATACACCATGACCAAGTGGAATTCATCCTAGGAATGCAAAGTTGGTTACATTAGAAAATCAATTGATGTAATTCACCATATTAACAGAATTTTAAAAAACCTATATGATCATTTTGACAGAACAGATTAAGCATTTGACAAAATTGGCAGTGTTCAACAATGGTTCATGATAAAATCTCTCAGAAAATTAGAAATAGGAGGACTTTTTTTCAACCTGATAAAGACCATCTTGAAAAATCTGCAACAAATGCATATTTAATGATGAAAGACCAGATGCTTTCTCTCTAAGGTTGGAAATGGAGCAAGAATGTTCACTCTTACTACATCTGTTCCACACTGGGCCTGGGGTCCTAGCCAGCATATAAGGCAAAGGAAAGAAATAAAAGGTGACCAGATCGAAAAGGAAAACAGTGAAATGGTCTTTATTCATAGATGACAGGATTGGATACGTATAAAATCCTAAGAAATCTATAAAAAACTACTACGACTAAGAAGTGAGCTTAGCAAGATCATACAAGATCAATATACAAAAATTATATTTCCATATATATAGCACCAAACATTTAAAAATTAAAATTAAAAACTATCATTTGTTATAGCATAGAAAAGGAAGAAAACCAAAAGCACGGATAAGATATGTATCTAGAAAACAAACTGGTTAAGAGAAATTAAAGAGAGGAAATAGATATACCACAGTTAAAGATTAGAAGATTCAATATTGTTAACGGTCAGTTCTCTTCAAATTGATCTATAGATGCAATGTAATCCCAATCATAGACCCATCAGCTGGTTTGCTGAAGTTGATAAAAAATTTATATAGAAATAGAAAGAACCTAGAAATGTCAGAACAATTTTGAAAAAGAAGAAAAATGGAGTCTTACAATATCTGACTTCAAGACTTATTATAAAGGTGCAATAATCAAAGTAGTGTGGTGTTGGCAAAAGAATAGACACCTGGATCAATAGTACACAAAAAAGAATCCAGAAGTAGACCTACACACATATGGGCAACTGATTTTTATTTTTTATTTTGGTATCATTAATGTACAATCACATGATCAAAATTATGGTTACTAGACTCCTCCATTATCAAGTCCCCACCACATACCTTGTTACAGTCAATGCCCATCAGTGTAGTAAGATGCTGTAGAATCACTACTTGTCTTCTCTGTGCTATACTGCCTTCCCTGTGCCTGCCCCCATGTTATGTATGCTAATCATAATGCCCCTTTATCCCCCTTATCCCTCCCTTCCCACCCATCCTCCCCAGTCCCTTTCCCTATGGTAACTGTTAGTCCATTCTTGGGTGCTGTGAGTCTGCTGCTGTTTTGTTCCTTCAGTTTTTCCTTTGTTCTTAAATTCCACATATGAGTGAAATCATTTGGTACTTGTCTTTCTCTGCCTGGCTTATTTCACTGAGCATAATACCCTCTAGCTCCATCCATGTTGTTGCAAATGGTAGGATTTGTTTCCTTCTTATGGCTGAATAATATCCATTGTATATATGTACCACATCTTCTTTATTCATCTACTGATAGACAGGTTGCTTCCATTTCTTGACTATTGTAAATAGTGTAGTCAACTGATTTTTGATAAAGTCTCCAAGATAATTCAACGAGGAAAAGGACAGACTTATTGACATGTAGTGCTGGAAACTTTGGATATCCATATGGAAAAAAAAATCTTGACCTTACTTTAGGCTACACACAGAAGTTAACTCAAAATTGATCATAAACCTAAATATAAAAGTTAGATCAGTAACATTTCTAGAAGGTAACATAGAAAATAATCTTCAAGACCTTGGGGTAAGCAAAGGCTGATGTGTCCGAGAAACATGGAAACCACAGATCATAAAAAGAAACATTGGTAAACAGTTTTCATAAAAATAAAATCTGTTTTCAAAAGATAGCATTAAGAAAATAAAAAGATAAGTCACAGACTGGGAGAAAATACAACACCTGCTTCTAACAAAGGTCTTGTATCCAACTTGGGACATGTATTCTTCTGAATATATAGTATGTACAGTTGCTTCTCATTGTGGATTCCCTATTCCAAATTCATCTACTCACTAAAATCTATTTGTAACTCAAAATTCAATACTCATGGCACTTTTGCAGTCATTTGTGGACATGTGCAGATTAATTAAGAGTTTGAGTTGCCTGATAGGCATGTTCTGGTTGAGGTTGACCAAGGTGACGCCTTCATGTTTCACCCCTCATACTGAAACCAAATGTCCTTTCTGTGGTCTATGTGGTGCCATGTGTTTTGAATTTTTCTGCTTTTTGTTAGTGATTTTGCTTTTAAAAATGGTGCTTAAGCATAGTGCTGGGTAGTGTTACTAAGAAGAAAGCTGTGATGTGCCTTTTGGAGAAAACACGTGTTAGATAAGCTTCAGGAATGAATTCTATTGCTGTAGGCCATGAGTTCAATGTTAATGAATCAAAAAATATATTAAATAGGTGCCTTTAAACAGAAAAACAGATATGTATTTGTCAACTGATGAAAATGTTGTAATTATAGACTCATATAATCTCATCCTGTTTTTAGGAGCAGCAGTTTAGTATTTGCTAAGTCAGTGTTTGTGGTGACTTTATATTACATAAAGTCACCACTACAGAACATAACTACTGTAAATAATGAGAATCAAATATATACCCAATACACACATGCACAAATACACATATATGTAGAGAGAGAGCCCAACAGGAAATGTACAAAAGATTTCAAGAGAAGAAATACAAATGGCCAACAAGCATATGAGA